AAAAAAAAACAAAAAAACACAACAACAACAGCATTTAATTTTTGTATTTTTGGGAGGAGACTATCATTTACATTTGGATTCCTGCCTTCATCTTCATTGTTCTTATCATAACATTTCAGCCACTGTATCCTCTAGCCTTCTTTGGGTAACTTCCAGGGAATTTCAAACTGAACTCTTTATTTAATCTATGGGAGTAGATTGTTCTTATTCTGCTGTCCATATCTAGGGATATCATGTTTTTTTTATCTTATTTAGTACTGCTTACTTATTGCTAAGTGTTGCTTCGACAGAGTCTAATACTGTATTAGCCAGTCCAGAGATTGAACATTACCTGGACAGATAGACATTTGAAGAAGGCTGGAGAGCACAACAGCTAAAACATAACACCACCACCAAATATGAGGACATTAGTTCAAAATTGTGGGTGCATGGCCAGGTGGTTAGAACATTTGCTTTCTGACCATGAGATCTGGGTTCAAATCTCACCACGGTTGATTTGTCGGGAAGGCGATTTCCTGATGTTATCAGACTGGATCAAGGTCGATCCCAGCATGTGGCACATTGGGAAAGTGTATGAACACAATACCATGGGTTGACCCAAGCCCTGTAAGTGAAAATAGGTAGATGGAACTCATGTGGGTCGTCGATAGCTGTGCTAGCACAAAGCCACAAGTCATTGTGGCCGAGGGCTTGAACGTGCTAGCCTTGTTCAAATTGTTGATCATGCTAGATAACACGCTCTTTCCCAGAAACTGTAACTAAGGTCTGCTCAGCATAGTTACAGTATAAACCACAGGTTGGCTCTGTGGGTGTTGAGTAAACACAAATATGCCTGAGCAAGTGTCTGCTATAGGGATTGGTGAGCTGCTCTAGTAGATGGGTATTCTCAAATACGAGTGGTCAGCTATTATTATTATTATTAGTTCAAATTTAAATAACATAAATAGCAACAGATATTCTGTTAATACAATTTAATTAAAATTTCTATCCATTTATCTAGGAGCTAAAAATAATATGGGAAATAAAAATAAGTATTTTGTTGAATTTAAAATAACAAAAAGTTCTGTCATGAAAAGAGTTCACTATAATTTGCAATAATAATTTGGCAGTGCAAAAAAATGTTACACACATGCATTATATATATAAAGAAAAATATATACAGAAAAAACAAACACAAATCCTTATAAACAATTACACTGTTTTAATGTTATGTCAACGTCGGACGTTTCAGTCTAATAAACTATCTTCAGGACATATTCATAAATTATTAGACCGAAACATCCGACGTTGACATATTAACATTAAAACAGCATAATTGTATATAAGGATTTTTGTTTTTTCCGTATATATTTTTCTTCATACTGCCGGATCTATATCCATATATTTGCTTATATATATATATATATATATATACCAATAAAAGGTTTGTCATTTAGATGATTGATGTTACCTTCAGCATCCAGAGTTTTATGGAGAGAACTTCTGGGTATCACTCCATCCACTTGTCAGCAATTGATAATAATATTATTACTTAGATGTCATTTTTAGTGGATACCATCCACTAAAAATAACATTTAAGTAATAAAATCTGTCATATTAATGAAAAATATAATTTTTTTAGATTTAGAAATATATATGTATCTAAGGAAAGTAAATTAATTTTTATTAATCTGACAGATTTTTTACCACTTTAAACGTTATTTTTAGTAGATATTCATATTTGAGTAGAGGCACCATTTATTTATTAAACAGTATTTACTTTCTTTAGAAAAATTGGTTTGTTTACAAAGACAATCAAAGGATCACTTGTATTTTAGTGCCAACTGTTGTTGAACTTTTTTTTATAAAGTTTCAGCTTTTGTTCTTAAGTAAATATTTCTATTGACAAAGAAAAATACATTTGAATGATTAAACAGTAAATTTTAAAACTTTGAGCCTAAAATTTTAGAGAAAGTTTCATTTATCAATTTGTCTATTGTGTCTTGGGATATTTTACAGTAGTAAGAAACTAATGCAAGGTTATACTGACATTACAAGTTATATATATATATATATATATATATATATATATATATATATATATATATATATATATGTATATATATATGTATGTATATGTGTGTATGTTATATATCTTAAACGTTATTTTTAATGGATACTCATATTTTGAGTAGACGCTCTAGATGGAAATAAATAAATAAAAACAGACCAACAACTCAAATATGGGTATCCATTAAAAATAACGTTTAAGCAAGAAGCTTAAATATAGCAGACTAATAAATGAAAAATCCATTCTTTTATATAAGTGAACATTGAAGTCAAAACTCAGAGGCGACAGGCTGTTTCATGCTAGACACAATCATCAGGCTGCCTGACAATTGCGTCTAGCATGAAACAGCCTGTTGTCTCCAACTTCAATGTTCACTTTTATATTTACATACGCTCTATCTCTGAAATTGAGCACTTTATCCCATAAATATAGCACACCTTAAAACTATATTTCTTCATGTGTGTGTGTGTGTGTTGTTATTATTCTTATTATTATTCCACCCACTAACTCTGTCAAAAGTACAACCAAAAAGAATTTATCTGAACTCAACATAAAATTTGTCAGAACTACATCTAAAACAATCAAAGACTTAATCAATGAAAAACAAAACAAGCCCAAACTTGAACAAGGAATTTACTCTATCAACTGCAGAAATTGCCAGAAGGAATATATTGGAGAAACTTCAAGAAGTTTAAACAAAAATCTATATGAACACAAAAGGGACATTTTAAAAAACAACACACAAAATGTATTGGTTGTTCACCATAATGAAACTAACCACAATTCTGAAATAGGGAATGCTACTTTGATCAAAAGAGAAAATAATTCATTAAGAAAATGTCTGGAAATTGCCTAGATCACTAGCTCAGTCATGGTAACTTTGCACTCAGGCTTTTACAATATGTCACCATTCTTGGCATGGAATAGTCAGGGACAAAGACGATGAAAAGAAAAAGAATATAGATGAATGTGGCTAAACTGAAAGAATATTCTTTCCAAAATTTTTAAACTACTAGCATCTCTCATTTTGAGTGCATGTGTAGTCATGGCAACATCAACAAAGCCCAGTTCAATGAAGTCCTAACAGATGAAATGTGTCACAAAAACTTTTCTCCTATTTGTCATATTATTTTCTTAATACTGTTTCTTGATATATAAAATTATATATTGTTGTCATATCATATATACATATATAAATCATTAAAAATGATTTTACTAGAAAAATGCATTGAAAAATCAGGAAGAACAGGATTGTCAGTGGTTAGAAATACATGTGTTATTAATAAAATAGAGCAATTGTATGTATAATCATGCTGATCTTTTTAGTTTTTCAACTATCATTTTACGGTCTTTAAAATTAAAGGTTGAAATTTGCCTCCTTTCCAAGTTTCAATTAGATTGTGATTGAAAGGAAACAATAGGCACTACACCATGATCTTGGGCAATTTGAGATGAACAAAGGAACCACAAACATGTACACGTCTGTCAGGAAAAAAAAAAGAATGAAGTAAGATGACCTAAAAGGCACAAGATATCCCATAAAAAGCCAGATGCTGACAAAAAAGAATGCCAGTAATGTTATTTGTACTAGTTATTCTAGCCACACAATGAAAAGAAACCAATTTTAGGTCAATATCTTAAACATTGTGATCATTGCATACTTAGGATTTGTTTGATTTTAATGTACATTTTATATTTTCCTTAAATTTAAGTGTATAATTATTAGATCTTAATATTACTGACAATATTTCTCACAAAAAAACAAAAAAAAACAAACAAAAAAAAACTAATGGCAAATGAGAAGTTTACAGGAAACTAAATTAACAAAATAAATTAAAAAGATTTGTATGACAGGAGATATTTTATTTCAACTGTCAAACAAATGCTGGTAAGTCATTTTCTTACCTCTGAAAACATGCAACAACTAACATTCACTAATTCCCCTTTGTAACATTTTTCTCTGCACATTTTAGTAAAAACATGACTCAAAAATAGTCATCTTTTTTCATAAAAATTACTAATCTTTTTCAGAAACATATGGACCAGGTTTTCATAGTTCACATTACAAAAACCACTTGTTATAACCATATGACCTGAGAGATCTTTTCAGATATTTTTAACTAAATGTTGATTGGTTTGGTTTGGTTTGGTCTACAGCATATCAACCTCAATAGGTTATTAATGCCAACAAAATTTTATTGCTGGTAATTTTTTTTTTTCAAAAATGTATTGCTGGTAATAATTTTTTACAAAGTATTTCTGGTATTAGAACCTATTTTATTAGTGTTTAACCCCAGTTTGGGGGTTAATACCACCTAGGTCAGGGTGAACCTGGGAACACCAGCAATTAAGAGGTTTCATGCTCCTCAAAACCTCCTGATCGGACGCCTTGCTGTTGGAAGTAGTTTATCATCATACCCAAGATGGTTAACTAAATGTTGAAGTATAATATAGAATTCTTCTGTTCCTTTATTTAAACAAAACAAAAAAAAAAAAGACTCACCAATTTTTTAGTGTTCAATTTTACACATAGAATATCAATTTAATGGCATTTAAAATTGCTTTCTATTATTGGAAAAGAAAACCTTTTTCTTCCTCTTTTCTAGAAAGCAGAAAATTTTCACACAGTATTGGCTAATCACCAATCCTAAATATTCAATATTTATTTAGATTTATTTATGTTTTTTTTTTTTTATAGTAATTGATTATATTAATCATTTAAATAGAAAGTTTATTAATATAATTAACTTAATACAAATTATCACAAATTATTATACCTTTATAAGCTGTTTTATTAATCTCACATGAAATAGCACTAAAGCTCATTTATAGTTATTTTGCATCATATTTTTTATTTAGTAGTTTATTAATCCCCAGATAAAAAAAGTACATATAACTTAAAAGATTTGCTATCTGTGATCATGACAATGCAGGCTTACAACCACATTACATTGAAACACCAGTTCTCGTATGATCATCAAAGTTAAGCAACATCACACCTGTCCAGTATCTAGATGGGTGACTGCATGGGAATATCAGGTACTGTAAGCTTGGATGTGTGGTTGGTGTAATGGATAATGTTTTGGAATTGTTAATTAGAGAGCAGAGTTCCAATTCCTATGGGTTTCTTTTATTCGTTTATTTTCTGGCTTTAAATAACCTGCAAAGGGTTGATAAGCTGTAGAAAATGAATCAATCAACAATGCAATTAAAGTTTTTCCATTGTCTCTCACATGTGATACCAGTTGTTCTTTTGGGTTATAAATGTACAGCAGGAGAGGTATATTTAAATTATATAAGCTCCATTTAATTCTTTAAAGCGGCAATTTTCAACACACAAATAGAAATTAGTTAAATGCTACTAATATAGTTTACCAGACCCAAGATTTCATAGAATAAAGCTCAATCATGTATTTTAATATTTTTCATATAATTCCTCACCATAAAATTTTAAATTTGTAAATAATCTCACTAATATACAGTTATTTTTTTAGAACCATTTTAATTTGATAACCGTAAGAAAATATCTCCTAGTGTATTTTAGTAATTTCACAAGGATCACATTAGTTTTAAATTTATTCACCTCACCTCTAAATTACCACAGGTAATATTAATTAGTAAAAAAAAAAAAAAAAAAGAAAGACAAATCCTACCCTAGAATCTAATCGTTAGTGCCACTACTCATATATATAAATAACAAACCATCTGAATGAGAAGTAAATGAAAAGTTTCATGAAGCAAGCAGACAACAGAAATAAATCAGACAGACAAATAACTAGAAGAGAAAGGTTTTAAAGTGTCCTAGACATATCCCCTCTCACCCCCAATAATAGTTACAATGTTAGTCTCCATCTTTAATGTTGATAGGCAAGTGAAGAAATTTTTACAAAAATCCCAAATCATCTAAAGCAATGGTTCTAAACAGGCCATTTTTAGAGTTTCATGAGAAAATGGAATCATAAATTGGCCAATTTAAACCAGTCAAATATTGATTTTTTTTTTTTAAACAATGTATCTTTTCATTCAGACAATTTTAGAAATGAGTAATAGCATTATGAAAGAAAAGTGCAGAAATAAAAGAAAGAAAAAAAAAATACTTGTTTTTTTTCATTCTATTGTTTACCCAATACAAGTCCCAAGAGCCACTCAAGATAGGTTACTGACTAAAGTTGTCCTAGAGAAGTAAGAAGTGCAGATTATGAGGATATGTAAGATACATAATGGTTGATCCTTGATTTGAAGAGGTTAAGATAGTGATTAGGGAAGCATACTTTCAAGAGTCTGCCTATGAATTAAGTTCTTGCGAAGATGTCTTGGTGCAACATAAAAAGAATGGTGACGATTCAACCTTGTATACATGGCATGACGGGTCCTAGATCTAAAGATCTGAACTGGAAGAACTAAGAAATGTAACTCATCTGAATATTTGCCATGGAAATAACAATAGAGTACTGAGAGATTAACAAAGTTTTGTCTGTGGGAGGAAAGAGTTTGTAGGGTGGAAAATAGTTCACCACCCACAAGTCTGCATAAAAACTTTTGAATTCTGTTATGGCTGGAAAGTGGGGATTGGAAAGTTTCAGCCCAGGTATAGTAGCAATACTCCATTTTTGCTTTGATCCAACTCTTGTAAAGAGATCATGGCAAGAGGGACTTTCTGGATCAGTACAAGGAGCCAATCATTTTTCCAGTCTTTTGAGTAATGGATAATTGTAGATAATTATATGCTACCATTTTCAGTATTAAAAAAAAAAAAAAGAAGCCATTTGTGAAATAAATAGAAGAATCATGATATATGGATTTATTTTTTAAACTATTTGTAACAATTCATCAAATAAAATTAAAAGGTAATTAAATATGAAGAATGCTCACTTATATATCTTCAAAGTTAAAAAAATTTCATAAGTAAAATATAAACTCCATAAATTATAAAAATGCCTTTTCACACAAGTGAAATATAGACTACTCCTTTAAGATGAAAAACATAATTTGACCTAACTTTAATAGCTTAAATCTCTTGGAAACTGATTTACAAAAACAAATTATCTGACCATGTAATTAAACTTTTTTCTTTTTGGTCCATACAGTATTTGAGAAATATAGAAGACTCTAAGACAAAAAACCTTTTGAAAGTTATTTTTGCAATGTGAATTCAAGTAAGAAAAATTATTTCCTTTAATAAACTTATATTCAATAATAAGGGTACATAGAGCAAGGCGGTATAAGGATCGCTTGGTATAGAGTTAAATATACTTAGTTAGACTCTTTAATTATTACTTCATTTCCAAATAATTTGTCTGATAAAAAGATCTCATTATTCTCACTAATTCTTCTACATGCCTGATAAGTTTTGAGTAAACTAGAAAATCAGGTTTTTCTAATTGCAATGATTTACTTGTAAGGTAATAAGCCTGATGATTACAAAGGCAAAGTAACTTGAAGCAACATGGGGTTCTACCAATGGATACTTGAATACAAGGGACTGACAGGAGCAACAAAAAAAGTTTTAAGGAAAATAAGAACAAACTTATACTTACAATCAGAAAGAGACAACTGAAATTTCTGTGATACATAATTAGGAAAGAGGCCTAGGAAATTTAAGACTCACAGGACATTTTGAAAGTAAGAGAAGCAGAGGGAAACAACAAGTAAGCTACTTAAGTTTGTGTAAACAAATGACAGATCAAGAACAAGTAGGCTTAGTAAAGAGTCAAAAATGACTTCAAGCAAGAGACAGGAAGTTTTGGAGACCCATAATCACCCATATGCCGAAAGACATACAAAAGAACATATTACTGTGGTTTACTTCAATAGATAATAAAATATGCAATTAAATCAGAAAATATTAAGTACTACATATAGAAGAATCCAGTTGCTACATTTTTAACTGACTGTTTAATTTAAAAAACTTAACAAATCAAAAAAAAAAAAAAAAAAAAAAATCTTCTGATTTGTAATTTTGCACATAAGAACAGTTAATGAAATTGTTCTGATATTGCCCCATTTTCAGAATGAAATGCTTTGCTTCATTTAATCAAGATATCTAGCTAAATGATGTAACATTTTTATTGATAGTAGCTTAAAATGATTACCGTATATACTCGCAGATAGGTCACACTCCTACTTTATGGCTTAATAATTGATGATTTACTGTTGACTTACAAATAGGCCACACTATAATCTGGGGAGTTACACAGCCATTTTTAAACATAAGAATTATCACCTTTATTTCAAAACTTACAATTATTAATACACTTCTGCAGATCAATTTCCATGTTATTCTGCATAATTTAGTACAATAAATTTAAAACCTGCTTCACAACTCTTTCTTTTACTTATGATTAGAATTTGCAACAATTTATAAACTATAAATTTGGCTACCAACTATATCTCTGCAGAATGCAAAATAGTGCAACGTTTTGGGTACTAGATTCATGTGCATTGTTATTTGTAAATAACACCTTTTAATGTTATATGAAACAACCATTAAAGAAAATTTATCTCAAAGAATATATTTCATTTCTTTAAGTCATATTTTCCAACGTATTTTTGACTAATATATATATATATATATATATATATATATTGCAGAATTAATCATAAGACTATTTTTTCTTTGTCAATGAACATCTACATATGGTTCCTTATGTATGCATGTTCAGAGTTTCTATATCAGTCTAGTGAGAGGGCCCCAACTGAACGGTGACTGATGGATTAATGAATATTTTATAATTTTATTTATTTATTGTGAATCTAGCAGCAAGAGTTAAGTTTAAAGCAGTGAGTCAGTATATATGATAGATAAATTGTCTCTATATGGAGAAAAACCACAGCTTTAGTGTTTATGGGCTTCATTTCTGATTTCTCAGAAATCATGATGACAAGGTAGTGTTGTTTTACAGTTATGTTGTGCGGATAGGTCGCACCCCTAAAAAAAAAAAAAAAAAAAAAAAAATAATAATAAAAGTGACCTACCCGTGAGTACGGTAAGTCACAGAAAATTCCTTAAGCCTTTAATTGAAAATGTAAATTCTAAGTGTACTTATAGTACAAATGAACCAAAATATACTAAAATGCTACATGCTGTTTGCAAAATAAATGAAAAAGAAATATACTGAAGAAATAGTTGACAAATAAGAAAAATAGTCCTTATTTCAACATGCTAGGCATCGCAGAAGTCGGTAGACAAAAGGTCTTCAAGTTGGCTACCAAAGTAACAAAAGTTGCTTCATAGTGGCAGTAGGTCAGAAGAGGGGAGTCATAGGTCAGGTAGTATTAACTCTACACAAGATAGCTATATGAATGTGACGGCTTGATTGTTGAAAGAATGAAAACACCCAATGACCCCAGTAAACACCACTGGTGATATGTCCAGGTGCAACACAAGATGATGTATGTTCAAAAGACAGGTAGAATGTTTTTTTTTCTTACACTAAAACAAAAATGAATATAACAAAATCATTTTTTACAAAATTTTAGAAACAGGCTAATTTGTTCTATTATTCTTAAGTGAACATTTTAAAATTTTGGCTCAAAGTTGACAAAAATCACCTTCATATTTTCATGTCCCAATTTATTTGCATTATGTTTTCTTTTTTGATTATATAAATAAATCACAAATGAAGATTTAAAAATTAAATGAATCTATACAATTTAACACTTCTTCAAAAAAAGTTTTCATTTGTATATTTTTAATAATTTCAATTAGCCAAAATGAAGCAAGCAAGTTTTTGTAACAATTCTCTAATACATTTACTCATAGTTACCATATCATAAGTATTAGTGTTTATTAACCTTTCTTATTTCTTAAAAAAATATAAATAAAAAACTTTATTTACAATGATATCCAAAGCTATCCAGAAGAGTTACAGGAGATTCTGAAGTCATCTGGAGGCTGTGGTTGAAGCCAATAGCGATTTTATTGAATAAATTTACTCTTTAGTATTTCAAGATATTTTTGTGTAAATTTAGTAAATATATCTATTAAAATGAGATATCTGTGTTATTTTCATTTTTGCCTAATTTAGACAACAATTTATCCATCGCACC